TGTGCAGAGGGATCTTGGGGATCAGGTCCATAGCTCGCTGAAAGTGGGCACACAAGTAGATAGGATGGTAAAGGAGGTGTAAGGCAATGCTTGTTTTTATTGGTCGGGGAATTGAGCACAAGAGTCAGGATGTCACGTTGCAGCTTTATAAGACTTTGGTTAGGTCACACTTACAGTACTGCGTTCAATTCTGGTCGCCACATTACAGGAAGGATATGGAGGCTTTGGAGAGGTTTACCAGGAACCTGCCTGGATTAGAGGGTATGACCTATAAGGAGAGGCTAGAAAAATTCAGTATGTTTTCTCTGGAGCAGCAGAGGCTGAGGGAAGACTTGACAGAAGTTTATAAAACTATGGGGTGCTTAGATAGGATTGATGGTCAGAATCTCTTTCCCAGAGTTGAAATGTCTAAAACAAGGCATTTAAGGTGGGAGTTTGAAGGAGATGTGAGGGGTAAATTTGTTTTAGACAGAGTGCTGGTAGAGGCAGATACGATAGGGGGCACTTAAGGGGCTTTTAGTTAAACACACGGATATGGAAGGAATGGAGGGACATGGACCGAGGGCAGGCAGAAGGGATTAGTTTAATTCGGTGTCATGTTCAGCACAGCATCGTAGGCCGAAGGGCCTGTTCCCGTGCTGTACTGTTCTACGTTTTATGTCATGGTCCATCCGCCAGTGCCCATCCATTGTTTGCTGTTTGTAAATTCTCGCTGGCGTTTCCACTGACCTCGGGTGCAGTTGTCGTCCAGGAATCTCTGTACCGTTTGTGCGACAGGTGATGTCGTCTCTATATCTGGGCGCAGTGTTGGGCTGGGAAAGGGCCTGCAGTTCTTATGTTGCATCTCTCTGTATGAGCACCGGGGACGTGTCTACGAGAGAGAGAGAGAGAAAGGCTGACTGGAGGCACATAACTCTCTGTAGTGTCTGGGTTTAGTGTCAATCCTGTCCCAGTCACTGATCCCCTTCCCCATCCCCAACCGATGTTCACTGTCGCTGTGTGAGGGTGTGTCGGAGTGTGGTGAGAGTCACAGTCAGAGAGTCCAATGTTTGCAGCACAGAGACTTTGGCCCAACTTGAGAGCGAGAGGATTTAAGTATTGGAGCATGGGTGTCTTGCTGTAGTTATACAGGGCCTTGGTGAGACTGGGCAGTGTACTGTGTGCAGTTATGGTCTCCCAGTCTGAGAAAAGACATTTCTTGCTATTGAGGGAGTCCAGCGAAGGTTCACCAGACTGATTCCTGGGATGGCAGGACTGACACATAAGGGAAAGGCTGGATCGACTGGGATTGTACTCACTGGAATTCAGAAGAATGGGGATGGTGGAGGGGGAGTCTCTGTAGAAACAGTAGATGGGACTGGACAGGCTAGGCGTGGTAGGAATGTTCCAGATGTTGGGGAAGTCCAGAAGTAGGGATCACAGTCTAAAAATAAGGCGTAAGCCATTCAGGACTGAGATGAGGAAGAATTTCTTCACCCAGAGCACTGTGAACCTGTGGAACACTCTCCCACAGGAAGTTGTAGGGGTCAGTACGTCAGATATATTTAAGAGGGCGCTGGACATGTGGCTGAAGGGATTGAGGGGTATGGGGAGAGGGTGGGAATGGGCTACTGAGATGGCACGGTCAGCCATGATCATATCGAATGCATTGAAAGCCGCCTCCTGCATCTGTTTTATGTTTGTCTGTGCTGCCCACTTTTCACAATTAATCTAATCCTATTTGCCTGCGTTTGGTCCATATCCCAATCTCCCAATCCACCTTAACCCGCACATCCCTGGGCACTACGGGACAATTTCCCATTGGCCAACCCACCCTAACCCGCACATCCCTGGGCACTACGGGACAATTTCCCACAGCCAGCCCACCCTAACCCGCACATCCCTGGGCACAACGGGACAATTTCCCATTGGCCAACCCACCCTAACCCGCACATCCTTGGACTGTGGGAGGAAACCGGAGCACCCGGAGGAAACCCACGCAGACACAGGGAGAACATGCAAACTCCACACAGACAGTTGCCTGAGGGTGGGATCGAACCCGGGTCCCTGGTGCCGTGAGGCAGCAGCGCTGAGCCACCGTGCCAGCCCTGAACTCAAAACTTTCCAGACCAGGCAGCGTCCTTTCTGCACACTTTCTAGAACTGGTCCTATCCTTCCTGTAGTAGCTCCTGTACTCTGAGCCATGAAAGCCGGCATTGCCCCGAAAGCCGTCCTGTCTACCTAGTGTAAATCTCCCGATGTCTCTGTCTCTCTGCAGGTCCGGCTGGGCTTAACCGACACAGCGCCGACGGGGAAAATGGATGGTTCGGTCAGTCGCGAGGCCGAAGAGCCGAGGAGCCTGGGCCCAGCAAACGGCGTGGGGGTGAAGTACCGACGGGCTCTGGACGGAGGAGGAGGAGCAGCTGGTGGGGGCGGTGGTTACTATCGCCCCCCGGGCAGGGCCCCCGGGGGTGAGGGGGGGTACCACCGCCCCGTGGGTGGGTACAATCGTGCAGCAGGGAAGCTGCAGCAGGGAGATGGCAGAGTCCGGGGCTGTGGGCACGTCCAATCGCAGGGAGACAGGAGGAGTTTCGGGAGACGCTTCGACCGGAAGCCGGCTGAAGGGGCGGCCAACGGCTTCGCCCGCAGGTGGAAGCCCAGGCCCCTGGGGAGGGGCTGCCCGGGGAGCCGGGTGACCGCGCCTCGCAACGGCGAAGGGCCGGATTCCCCGGCTTCCCCAGACGAGGCGGAGGGGAGCGGGGGCGCTGGCGAAGAGGAGGAGGAGGAGGAGGAGGACGAGGAGGAGGAGGAGCAGGAGCAGCATCGCTGGGCCCTGTTCAAACCACCAGCGGCTTTCCCCATGGACAGCAGCATCAGGATCAGTTACGCCAGCAAACTGAAGGAGAACCTCAGTATTGACTCGGCTGGTGCGGGGCGAGCATGCGACAGCAGCGAAACTGGCCCCAGGCTGGGTCAGGGACTGAGGGCCATCTTCCACAATCAGTGGGGCCTGTCTTTCATCACCGAGCCCGGCACGGGCAGCGACGGCTCGAGAGCCCAGCAGCGGGCTGGACTGAACTGTCAGCAGGCCCTGGATCCTGGTCGGCTGGGAGGCCCCAGGCCAGAAACCTCGCCGCCCGCAAACAGACTGAGCCCCGACTGTGAGCAGTGGAGAGGCTCCGACCCGCTCCAGCTGCAGGATGTCGTGCGGTACTTCTCCAGAGGTCGGTCACAGAGAGAGGGAGGGGGGGGTGCTGTCCCTGTCCCCCCCCCGTCTGGGGGACAGAGAGAGGGCTGTCCCTGCCCCCCTGTCTGCGAGGATGGGGGTTTGAGAGGAGGAAGATGGGTGCAGGGACCGAGGGAGAGTGGGAGCGGGTAGGGAGGGAGTGACTGCGGCATTTTAGTTCCGAGGAAGAAAGGGAGCGACTGGGGACAGAGGGAGGGAGGTCGGGAATGGTGCAGTGTGGAGACCGAGGGGTGGTGCTGTGTAGGAAGGAGGGAATGTGGCAGTGTGGAGACTGAAGCAGGGAGGCTGAGCGAGGGAATGGGGCAGGCGGAGACCGTGGAGCGGGGGACTGAGGGAGGGAATGGGGCAGTGTGGAGACCAAGGCGGGGGGAACTGAGGGAGGGGATGGTGTAGTAATGGGGCAATGTTTTGAGGACTGAAGGAGGGAGGGAGCAGGTTGTATTTATCCCTGTGCTAATCTCCATCTTGTTTTTGTTTTTCTAGAATGGGATCGCATTTGGGAGCGACACAAACGAGGTGAGGGTTACGTCAGCAGTGAGAAAGGGATGGGGGTGGGGTGGGGTGGGGGGCCTTTCAACTATACTGTGGCTGATCTTCCAGCTTCATCCTCCCGCAATCTCCAAAAATCAATCTCCCTGTCCGCCCACCAGCCTCCTGCTCCATGCGTGTCTTTGTGACTGCAGGGCCCCTGGCTGAGATATTTGTATTATCGATAGCCATGGGCGAGGTACTGAGAGGTTGGCTGATGTGGTGCCACCATTTAAGAAATAGTGGTAAGGAAAATCCAGGGAGCTACAGACCGGTGAGCCTGAGGTCACTGAGGGACAGGATTTACATATATTTGGAAAGGCAAGGACTGATTAGGGACAGTAAACATGGCTTTGTGCCTGGGAAATAACTTGACAGTTTTTTTTCTTAAGAAGTGACGACGAGGATTGTTGAAGGTGGAGTGGTGGACATTGTCTATGTGGACTTCAGCAAGGCGTTCGACAAGGTTCCTCATGGTAGACTTGGTAGCGAGGTTAGATCGCATGGAACACAGGGAGAACTAGCTGTTTGGGTACAAAATTGGCTTGCAGGTAAGAGACAGAAGCTGATGGTTGATTTTCAGACTGGAGGCCTGTGACCAGCAGTGTGCCACAGGGATTGGCGTTGGGTTCGCTGCCTTTTGTCATTTATATAAATGATTTGGATGTGAACGTAGGAGGTATGGTTAATAAGTTTGCAGACAGCACCAAGATTGGAAACGTAGTGGTCAGCAAAGAAGGTTACCTCAGAGTACAATGGGACCTTGGCCCATTGTCCCATCTGATCGAGGAGGGGCAGATAGAGTTCAATTTGGATAAATGTGAGGTGCCGCATTTTGGAAAGGCAGGACATATACACTGAATGGTATTGAGGGTGAAAGCGTTTTAGAGTCACACAGCACAGAAATAGACCCTTTGGCCCAACTCGTCCATGTGGCTCATTTTCCTCTCGACCCTTCCTGTTCATAAACCCATCCAGATGCCTTTTAAATGTTGTAATTGTACCAGCCTTCACCATTTCCTATTGCAGCTCATTCCATACAAGCACCACTCTGTGTGAAAAAGTTGCCCCTTGGTTCCTTTTTAAATCTTTCCCCCTCAACTTAAACCTATGCCCCTCTAGTTTTGGACTCCCCTCCACTTCAGGGAAAAGATCTTCTCTATTTATCCTATCCATTCCCCCTCATGATTTTATAAACCTCTATAAGGTCACCCCTCAGCCTCTCCCCATAGCTCAAACATCCACAAATCTTTTCAAGTTTCACATCCTTCCTATAGCAG